AAAAATATTATATCATTGATATGGATGAAAATGCTGATAAACTTGTGGAACTGACAAACAAACTGAACAGATGTAATAAGAACATCAAAACCATAATGGAGACTTTGAAGACCATTGAGGAGAAACTCACTGAACCTAAAAAGGAGGAGAAGAAGGATGATAAGGAAAGGATAGATTAAATCTTTGAAAAGAAACAGATAGGAAGACCCGTCGGTTCGTGGGATGATAAGAGGAGACAGTATGCGCATTGGATTAACGATGGTAAGCCAAAACAACCGAAGGAAACAACATTAAAATTCTACAAAATTTTTAAGGATACTGAAACGGGATATTATGAACTTGGATAATTTCATATTAAAAAATATAGAGGTTTAATATGAAACTATTAGAGTTATTTAGCGGAACAGGCAGTGTTGGTAGAGTTGCTCGTGTGTTCGGTTTTAGTGTCATATCGTTAGATTTGAAGAATGCTAATAGCAATGAGGATACACTACAATGGGATTATAAAAAGTATGAAGAATATGTGACGTTATTTGGGCATCGCCTCCTTGCACTGAATATAGTAGAGCAAAAACGACAGGAGTTAGAAACATAGATTATGCTAATAGTATCGTTAGGAAAACTATTGAAATCATTAACTGCTTTCAACCGCGAATATGTTTCATAGAAAATCCGCAGACCGGACTTTTGAAGGAACAGGACTTTATGAAATATTTTGATTATTATGCTGTAGATTATTGTAAGTATGGTTTTGAATATAGGAAGCGGACAAGGATATGGACGAACCTAAAGAGTTGGAAACCCAGACCCTTATGTAAAAAAGACTGTAATAGCATAATAGGAAACAGACACAAAGAGACCGCACAGAGACTTCCGTGTAAAGGTAGATGGGAGGAACAAAGGAAGAAAACACAAGATGCACTTTAGAGAATACCCGAAGAACTTATTTATGATATTATCTCAAACCTTTAGTATCTGGTGGCGAAGGAACGGTTTAGTCAATCCTTCCAGTTGAAAGGTTCTGTTTCCCGTCGTGTCGTATTCTATCTTCCTGACTTTGTAGTTTTCTTTTATCTCCTCATACTTCCTCGTGTTCTTTTCTCTTCTTGTCAGATTTACCTTTACACCCATATGGTTCTTATCATCGTTGGCTTCGTTGGGTGTGAGTTTTGTGGATGAATGTTTGGTCTGTTGTATTTCTTCAAGACCGCTGGAAGCATACTCGTCCATCCTGCCTTATTAAATCTGACCCTGTCGTGTATCATATATTTGAGCGTCCTGATGAAACGTTCCATGACAATGGCGTGTGTTCTTGTGATGATGTGATTGATGCCTTCATCCTTAAAAACATTGACACTACCGTTTGAAATGCTCCGTCATCATCGCTGTATATTGACATTGGAAAACCAATTTTCTTAAAACTTAAAACTTTGATTCAACGCTGGTAAGACCGTTTCTCCGTCTCTCTGCTTCATAGGCACGACGTCGCCCATCTTACTGAATATATCTATGACAACTAACGCATAGGGTGGCTTGGAACTCTTCATCGGTATTTTTGCCTCCGGAACTTTCGTTAAGGGCTTCATATATGCATTATGTCAAGTTGATACTCAAACCTTGAGAACGGAGCGGTATATGAGTTTGAGCCTCTATAGCCTCTAATCTGTTTGTTGGGCTGTTTCTTCATAAAGGTTTCTACATCTACCCTCGTGATGGATGGGTCTTGTTCTCTTGCTTGTTTTAGGGTGTCTTGGATTGACCCGAAACCCTTTTCCAAGTCGTAATAGACATTGCTTATTATTTGTTCTTTTGTTAATCTTCTTGCCATTACTATAGTTTTAGATTTTAAAAAGATTTTCTTAAAGAAAACAACATATACTTAAAGAACAAATGATATATAAAAGTAAGAGAGTAAAGATGACTAAATTTCACTATGAATGTCGGAGAATGACTGAAGTTATTTCCTTGAATGAATGGAAAAAAATATCCGAACTTGACATATTCGTTAAAGACCTTCGTGAATATGTGTGGGAAGTGCGGGAAGAGACACATGACATTCCAGACTATGGAAAAAAACACTTTTGGAGATGGAAAAGGTGAGAATGAGAATTTTTGAAAAAAGATGTCAGTGATGATGAAGAGAGGATACATACTTTGACTTGAAAGAGTTGAAGGAACACCTTAAAACCTTATCACCTGTTGAAAGGAAAGGCGTACAAGACTTTGAGAGGTTGAGGAACTTGGCAAATGGAAGAAAGGAATACGAAGGGCTACACGAGATAGATAGAGTGATAAAGGAACTGGAAGATGAGGAAAGGAAAAAGGAAAACCAACCAGAACCCGAAAAATGAACAAGACCCCAAAAACTACTTAAAGAACAATTACCTATATATATATAAGAGATGATTTTTAATTATGGAAACTGTAGATGTTGTAAAAAGGAAAGTGCCAACGTCAAGGTTCTATTGAACAACATTTTCCCCGCCGGAATTTGTGATATGATATGTGATTACAACACCCACTGTTTCAAATGTAATAACTTAATCTTTAAGGACAACGAGTACATCAGAAGCGCCTACGACAGACATACAACGGTGGAACAGCAAATAGATTTCTTCCAAACAGAGATGCCAACACCCATCTATTTAAGCGATACTAACAAAACAAATGTGAGAGCGATGAGAAGGGAGATAGACGTGTTGATGGACACAATGGCACTGAAGGTCAGGTTTAAGCACAATAAACTATATCTACAGGCAATCAAATCTTATGTAAAGAAGAGCTGGAAACATACTTATCATATCCTCTAATTTATTCACGACCTTGAATACATGACTAGGAGTAAAAAGTCACGACGATGGTGGTTTCCTGACCTTGAAGGGACTCATTTTTTTAGAAACCGAGCATTCATAGTAAGGACATCTTGGAAGTCTTCTTGTGTTAATACCTCAAAGAACTTTTAGATACTATGAGCACTACATCAACGAACCAGAAATAGAAGAGCACCTACAAAAAATTATAAACACTTAAAGAATAAATACTTATGTATATTAAGAATAATGCCTATGATTGGAGTAAGCGAGGAAGAATTGAAAAGAGATAGGGAGAGACTGTTGAACTTCATAAAAGAAAATCCATATCCTGATTATAAGTTTGTATCCAATGACCTGCTCCTGAAGCAAGAAAAATCTTCACCACAATACGCAGAGTTCCAGAAATCAACCACGACCTTATGAACGAAATGTATGAACACATTTTTGACAAAGATATTGTTAAAGAAACGGTGAGATAATACACCACAGAGGAGGAATGACAGCATTACAACAGAACTATTATACACTATTGTCAGTCTTGAAGCACTTGATTGATTGACCAACGAAGTATGGATAGAGATACAATCATTTTAGTGTTCTATAACATCAAAACGGTTGTGTCTCAACATTGGGATGGAATAGGAAAAATGATGAAAATGGAGACATTGATTAATTCATAATATCTTAATTAATCATATTATGAGCTAATCCTTTAAACCCCAAATCCCAAACATAAAAAACATACAAACCTAAGTAATCATCCACCTCGTTGAATTATAGCAATGATAGTGAAACTTATGATCCTAAAACACGTATAACAAGACCCCAGCAAAACATCAAAGGTAAGGAACAAAGGTTGAACATCAACATAAAATCACAACAAGCAACACACCAAAAACTCCCCAGAACCCCCATTTCTCCATTTTTTGGGGTGGGGGGGCGGTTGCAGGTCCCGCCAGGTGGGGTGAACCAGTCAGGATAGTGCATCAGCTTCACGAAGTGCGGAGACTAATTAGGACAGAGGAAGTGCTCAGGTTTGGGTAGACAGGAAAGGAAACGCAAGAAAAGAGGTCACCCCACAGGGAGCGGACCAGGCCAACCGAGCCCATCCAGTTAGAGGGCATTTGCGCAAACCAGAATCTCTTTTGTCCACTGTATGGAGCGTGAAAGCGGCGAACCAAGAGCAAAAGCACCGCCGAAGTGTGAATGTCCTGGGCTCAACCTTTTCACACGTGGCAGTGATTGGGCCTTGAACTTGATCAAGGCCTTGTGTACAAAAAGAGCCTGTTCTATTGCGAGACTTTGCGCGTCTCCTACTTCTTCCCCATGCCTAACAGCTTTTAGGTCGTCGACTTCAACCGTCCTAACGCATGGGCTCCACTTCTATCCCACAACCGCTAACAGTGAGTGGGCCTTGATCAAGACCTGTATTAAGAGCCTGTCATATCGACCCTCAACTCGAGACTTTGCGCTTCTCTGCCTTCTATTTCCTCATGCCTGACTGCCTGACAGCAGTTGAAGTGCGCTGTTGACTTCACCCCATAACCACATTGATGTCTTCTTACGGAGGCTGGCTTTCGTCCCTTCCCTTCTCAGGTTGATTTTCTATTTTTAACAAGTTGTTCTTTTTCATCTGTTTTGACGCACATCCGCTCGACGCCGTCTTGGGCTGGCGCCCAAAAAGAGCACGGGAAATGACTCTTGTTTGGGCCTTCCGACTTCGACCAACGGCATGGGGTTTCTTCGTCCTCTTGCTTTGTTGCCATTTTGCTGAGATGTCGTTTCTGGAACTAAACTCCACAAGAAAACAAAATCAAAAACGCAAAACATCGCAAAGCGAAAAACCATCGGTTCTTGCTTGACCTTCTACCTGATCGTGTTTGTTTTCACCACGTCATATTTGATTGAACATCAATATGAGCTGCGATGAGAAGAGAAGGTTTGTGACAGCATTTTTTTTCCCGTTGCGTTTTGTGTGTCCACTTGCGCAGTTGCAATTACCCTTCACAAAACGAGATCGAAAAGAAAACGGATAAGAAGACAAGTCAGAGACTCATGTTGGCTCGTTGTTGCTCTCTCCGAGTCTCAGACGGTTCATCTCTGTCACACCGAAAGCGGTGTTCGCGGCCTCCACGTGAGACACGGAGCGACGTCAGACGCGTCTGCCGAATGTGCTGCTTACGTCAGGAACTGAACAAGGCGCTTCCGAAGAAAGAGGTGCAGAAGGGATCAACACGTGTCAATCGAGCAAGCAACCATTTGTGATATTTTGCGACTGTCATCTATTATGTGACACATATGTGGGTGTCGAGGCTTACATGAATCAAGCACGGTGCCGGACCAAGCCGTTTTGAGAGTGAAAGGAAGAAACAGGTGTTTAGCGCATGGTCCCGTCCAAAGTCTGAAAAACACATTCAGCTTCGTGCTGCTTCTCATGGCTTATCCAAAAAAAGTCCTAGCTACTAGCTACTTAAACTTAGTAGCAACCATTCTTAGCTAGTTACTATCGTTACTCTCTTTACAAACCCTTAAAAAATGAATAGATCTGCGAGGTCCATCCTCTTCAACCTCAAGGACTCGAAGAATCCCACTTTCAGGTCATTCTTCAAATATGTGATATATTTTTTTTCTTTTCCTTAAAGGATTTCGTCTTTTCAGGTTCAAGTTGATGGTGGGCTTCTTCCAGCCCCATCAGCTTCCGACCTTGACAGCGGAAGACATGGCGCGACATGTCGCGAATTTTTCGTCGTCGACACGAAGAACTCGGTGCTTTCGAGGCCAGCGAGCAGAAAAATGATGAGCGACGAAAGCAAAGGCTTCCGAACTAGCACTTTCCAACATCGGTTCACAATCGGTTCACTTCGGTTCAGGAAGTATGCCATGGAAGCCTTGGATCAGAATTGGGCCTTGAAGAATGGTCAGCCAAGGGGCCGAGAGAGAAAGGTCGGAAGGAAGCTAAACGAAAAAGGCGAGAAGAAGGTGAAGTTTGAAATGGAGAAACCGGAAGAGAACCGGAATGGAAAGGAAGAAGGAAGAGTCTTAGGAAGAGTTGGCAAAGAAAAAGGAAAGGCTACTCGAATTCGAAGCTACTCTTGGACTTTGTGAAGTTTAAGGCAGCCAACCACAGGGATGTTTACTTGTGGCAAATGCAAGGCAGGAGAATACGTTTGCGGACACCTCGTCCATTGGAACGTTTGTCCGTGGATATGTGTTGTGGTGCAGGGTAACAAGACCACCTACTTCCAGATGCAGACGAGGATTGGCCAGTATATGCTCCATGTTTATTGAGTCATTTGGTGACTGTCCAGATTTGAAAACACATTTTTTAGCTACTAGTAGCAAGAACTAGCAGGTTGGAGGCCATCGCTACAGGTAACAAGAAGCTGCTAGCAACACTGCAGTTGTTTCTTTGTTTCGGCGAAACATTGTGTTGAGGTCATCTGATGAGCCCATGACAACGTTTGTCACATGTTCGTGCCTAAGTCAACTCTGTAGCTTCTCTGACCATTTGGTGAAAACACATGGATCTAAGCGAGAAACACATCCAAAGTTGAACCAGCATCTAGTCGGTGATCCATTTACCAATCCCAACCTGGCTGGTGGTGACCGGTGCACCTAAGAGAAGCAGAACAAGTAGAACATGAGAGTCGTATAAATAATAAAGAGAATGTCGAATCGGTCACTTGTTTCGAACAACCATGTCACATGTTCCACGACTGTGGCCGATCACCTCTCGAGAGTGGGGCTGGAAGGGTGGCAAGCATCCTTGAGCCATCGAAGCAGGGACTTCGACCGTGGAAGTGGCTGGTGTGGTCGAGTTCGACCTTTGCTCAAGAACATAGAGCGCAGGGCGCCCGGTGAAAGAGTCGGAGGGCGCTGGACAGGGTTCTGGCTAGGGAAGCAGGGCTTCTTTGAATTACATTGGTTGCATTGTATTTGAGTGATCCCAAATCCGGCTGTTTCCCGTTGCCAGTATCGACAACCAGGGTGGTTTCGATATTGGTAGCAGAGCTACCTGGGAGATCTCACAGGGACAGGCTCTACAAGCTCCACTGTTGTTGTTGCAATGCCTCCTTCAGAGGCAGCTGGTTCGGCTACGGACACCGGAACCTCGACCAACAGTCAGCCTCATTGGTCCCATCATTCGATCCCTCGACTGACAACGTCGATTGGGCGCAAAAGATTGAGCTGCTGACTACAGTATGGCCGGAAAGCAAGTTGAGCGAACTGGCCACTCGTATTATTCTCAACAGCAAGGGATCGGCTTTTGCCAAACTACAGTTGAGAAAGAAAGATCTTTTTGGCTGGCGCGGTAGAGATCACCCAGTTTGTTGAAATAGTTGGAGGGCCAACTTGGCCAAGTGAGCCTCGAGCAAAAATTCGACGTCAAGTTGTTTGGACGGAGCTCCCCATGAAGAAAATCAACCTTGCAGAGGTCCAAGCCTACGTGACGCTCCGTGGAAGCAAACTGGCCCAGGAGGACAAAAAACAGTCCTTGTGGAATCAGGGGCTGAACATGGGGGAGCGTTGGAAATGAAGGTCGCGGCTTCAATTTGGATGATCGGATCATCCTTCTTCCAGTCACTCCGAAGAGCCATGAGCCATCGTTCCCGACCGCAGAGAGCCGTCTATCAGCCCGGAGATTGGATCATGGCATGGAGAAAGGAAAACCAATGGTTTGGTCCATTAACGGTAATTTTTCAGGAAGACAAAAATGTGTTGTGGGCAGTCCTAGGAAACAAGCTCTTCAGGTTGGCGCCCGAACATGCAAGGCCTCTCTCAGCCGTAGAAGAAGTTCGACATGCCAAGGTCCTCACGTCTCGCAACATATCACATAAGTTGGAGAACCTTAGACCCGGACCTACACGGTTCGTTGATGTGCTAAATGACATAGTGCCTTCACCGGCTCAGAATCAGCCAGTGCGCGAACAACCTTTTGGGTTGGTCTTTTGGAGCTTAGGTAGAAGTGTTTTTTCTACTTGTCATTTGAAAAACAACATTAAAAAATACAAGTTTTTTACAAATGTGACAAAAAGGGATCCACTAGTCCAAAATTCTAGATGTTTAAAAATAACTTCAGGATGCAACAACATGTTATTCTATATGTTCTTTAGTCTGTGAGAGGTTATGATCCTTATTTTATTTTCTTCTCAAGCTACTTTCAAGCAGGAACTGCGCAGGTAAAGCGTGGCGTGTGGACTCCCTCGACTCCGCTTCATATTCATCCTTGTTCTTTAAGGTTATGATCTTGTTTTTCTGGAGGTAGTAGTAGAGGAAGCGCAGCCTGGCTTGCTGGAAAAACGCACTAATGATTTGGGCAAGGGCCAGGCAGCTAAAGTCTATATTCTAATTTTTGTTTGACTGTTGGGAAAATTAGGGCACTGTTGAGCGGAATGGTCGGTGGATGACACCTTTGCTTGACGATGCTGAGGTCGACAAATCTGAGGCCCCGACCCAGGCGGCTGATGTAGAAACACTTTGGCGCCATCCACCTTTGTCTTCGACCACAGTTCAGCAGCAGTAGGCCCGCAGCAAAAAGCGCTTGCTTCAGAATTACAATCATTTGAAACATTCACAGGGCGGTCTCAACTCTTCCCATCCCACCGACCACCAGTAGCTTGAGGGTGAACTAAACCGCTCAACAGTGCCTTAGTCACAGTCACATTCCGAATTCACAAACAAACAACAACCTATATTGGCTTGCAGGTCTTCCTAAGTGCATTGGTTCCATACCTCCCCACTTGACACCAAGTTAGGCGCAGGCAGAGCAGTCATGGTAGCTGACACTGTGCCTTCCAGTGAATTGAACTTGACGCCAAAAATTACCTAGCAGTTGGAATCGCAGCAGCATCTTGCAGCTCGAGACCAGAATCGAAGGTGTCAAGGTATTCTGGCCCAATGTACAAACAACAGCCGCACCATACCCTTTTCATACCCTTCAAACAATCTTCAACCCTTTTCAACCCTTTTCACGACCACTTCATGCCCCTTTCATACCCTTTTCATGTCCTTTTCAATCACACGCCCTTCTCATGACCATTTCATACCTCTTTCATACCCCTTTCATCCCATTTTCAAGCCCTTTTTTTCATGCCCTTTTCGTACCGTTTTCACGCTCTTTCCATACCCTTTCCATGACCTTTTCATATCCTCTTCATACCTTTTTCATACCCTTTCATGCCCTTTCATAGAACCGATTTCATATCCTTTTCATACCCTTTCCATTCCCTTTTCATGTCCTTTTCATGGATTGTTCAAACCCTTTTCCTTTTCATGCCCTTCTCATACCCTGTTCATATCCTTTTCCTTTTCATAGCTTGTCATTACGCATTTCGTATCCTTTTCCTGCCCTTTTCATGTCCTTCTCAAGCCCTTTGCCTACCCTTTTCATACCCTTTTTAAATCCTTTGCGCGCCCTTTTCACACCTCTTTCATATCCTTTTCATACTCTTTTCATGCCCTGTTTCATACCCTTTCCACACCCTTTTCATCTCCTTTTCATACGCTTGTCACACCTTCTTCAAGCCCTTTGTCATACCCTTTTGACACCCTTTCATATCCCACGCCCTTTTCATGCCCTCTTCATAATTCTCTTTTCATCATCTAGTTTCATACCCTTTTCATACCTCTTTCATACCTTTTTCATGCCCTTTTCATACCCTTTTCGCGCCCTTTACAAAAAAGTACGGCCGCCCTGGTTCGGTACCCAGTCCAGACCTTTTACGGATCATTTACAAAAACTCTCACGCGCTTGAATTCTGCGAACGACAGTCAAGCAAAACCAGTTCACCGCGGCCCGGTGTCTAACTTCGTCGGCTGTACCTCACCAACCCCGTTGTGAATGTGAACGTTCCCACAGGCCACCGCCCAGAAAAAAAGAAAAAGAACGCATTTAAAACCACTGCCGACCAAGGGTAGATTCGGGTAGATCATGAAACATATTTTCAATAAAGGAAAAAGGGTAATATTAATCAATCTGGCGCATCAATAGAAAAGCAACAGAAACTGTGCCATGCTGTTTACACCATGAACTCTAATGAAAGACGATTCTGAATGAGTGTCTTTGTCTTTAATTGCGCCGATCGACAAATCTGAGGCCCCCGACCCAGGCGGCTGATCCATTTCATATCATTTTCATACCCTTTTCAAACCTTTTCCATACCCTTTTCGTACCCTTGTCATGCCCTCTTTATACCCTTTCCATGCCCTTTTGATACCCTTTTCATACCCTTTTCACACGGCCATTTTCATACCCTTTTCATAGAACCGATTTCATATCCTTTCCATGCTCCTCATACCCTTTTCATGCCCTTTTCGTAGTTTTTTAAATACCCCTTTCATACCCCCTCCAACCTTTTCACGCTTGAATCGGGCATGACAAGGGTATGAGATGGGTATGAGAAGCGTATGATACAAATTGTATGAAAAGGGCAGGAACAGGGCATTCAAAAGGGTTTGAATAGCGCATGAAAACGGTATGAAAAGGGCATGAACAGGGAATGGAAAGGGTATGAAAAGGATATGAAAAGGTCATGAAAAGTGTGTGAAAAGGGTATGACAAGGGTATGAAAATAGCAGGAAAATTTATGGGATGTGAAAATGCAATGTAAAGGGTGACTTATCTGAACCTTAAACAGCCTGCATCATAATGACCGCAAAGGCCCAGACTGACATATCTAAAGTTTTCTTGAATCGGTTTTTCTGACATTTGTTTTCTGGTTTTTTCTTTTAGTGTACATCAAGCATTCTGGAGCACTTTTTGTTTCATTTTTTTGGAATATATATATATTTTTTTTGGTGTAAAAATTAAGAGTAGAAAAACAAACTTCTACCAAAGCTCCAAAAAGACCAACCCGAAACGCCGTTCGGGCACATAGTGACAGAACCCTGTTGAAGGATCATCAAACCCTCGCCCGAGTGAAGAATCCAGCAACGAACAACCTGATGGTGAACCAGGAATCTCAGAACAGGATGTCTCCGCACCCCGATCCGAAGAAGAGTATACACCATCCATCCCGGAAAACCATGGAATTGACACTGCTGGTCCAGATGCCGATTTGTCAAATCCAGTCGCCAGAAAGTGTTCCAGTCCCGGCCGATGATGACGACGACCCGTTCTGTGAAGCCTTTAGTCTCACAGAGAATTCAGTGTGGAAGATTGAGGTCAATTTAGATCTCATGGACATCGGCAGATGGAAGAATGATCCTCATCCGGAGGAACTAGCGTTCCTGGTTTCGGCCGCCAAGAAACAAAAGACGGAAGTGAAATTGGCAACTTTGACACTGCAAGAAAAACAACAATTCCAAGAAGCCAAAAACAAAGAGATTCAGAGTTGGCTAGATACAAAGACAGTGTGCAGAATCGCGCGAAATCAAATTCCTCCTCAGAACATTCTCAAGTGTAGATGGATCCTCACATAGAAAGATGCAGACAACAACACGCACTTGAGCAATGCCAGTCAGTCCAACC